AGAGCTACATGTTAAAGATATTAATAGTGGTTTTCATCAACTTTAACTACATAATGTGTGCTGATAACATTTCACAGTTCAGATCCCCACAATACACTCACAGTGATGATCAGACGAGTCGATTAATGCTCCACAATGATACATTTCACGACACATTTAAGATGATAAAATGCATACAACTAAAACCATCACATAATTCATTCTCATTTATGATTTATCACATTGAAATCTTTTTCGCCTACAATTTTGCACCAAATAGCATAAAGTCTGCTTTTGTCTCTCGTCCTTCACTGCCAAATGATTGTAGAGTCTATAAAAGAAAGTATAAAAGTTCTTAAAAATTTCATCTTTACACTAAAGGCACTAACAATCAGCTAGCAAGAGTATTCAAGAGAAAAATCATCTGCTTTCACAGCAAACAGTTTTTAATTTTTATTACTCGTCTCTAATGATGCTAGAGAGAGAAGGAACTTACCGACTAAAAAAATTGTTAGCATCAATCCGAGTACGAAACGAATGGAATTGATGGGCAACACAGTTAACACGAGTTGCTGTCTCTGACTTCTATGGCCTCCTCCAAAGCGCTGAAAACAAATGGCATATGTTTTTTAGATACTTTAATGACCATATAAAATCGCAATATATTGACATATACTATTAAAAGAAAAGGATATATCACAAAAAGGAACAAAACCATTTTCTGCCACCAAAGCAAACGGGTCTGTTAAAATCGGCAGCATTTTTCCATATTGACGTAGAGTCACAAATGGAAATCCTCAAAAATTAATTATTCAAATTATGATGAACCTCATAAATCTATCTTTACAGACCATATACTTTAATGACCATATAAAATTGCAATATCTTGACATGTACTATTAAAAGAAAAGGATATATCACAATAGGAACAAAATCATTTTGTGCCACCAAAGAACGTGTCTTTTAAAAATCGGCATCAATTTTCCACAGTGGCATTGTCACAAATGAAAATCCTCAAAAATTAATTATTCAAATTATGAAGCCTCAATAAATCTATATCTTTACAAATAGCCAAATTAACCAAAAAGAGACAGAAAATGAGAAAATAGAACAGAATTATTAACCTGATTTATCCAGCTGGTCATTCTCGAATGGTTATGAACCTTCTCTTTTGATGTTCCTTCAATCAATGCATTTCCCTCTCTATCATCTCCATCAATAACAATCTCCAAAGTACCCTTCTTTGGCGAATTCCATGTCCTTCGACTACTTGCCTTTCGATCACCATGAAAGCTAACTTCATCTACTCTGCTCTCTTCTTGGCTGGCATCCTCGTTAATTGGAACAATTTCTGAAAGCCGCATTTCCTGATTCGGCACTTGGACTTTAGAACTCGTATTGGTTTTCTCACTGGAGACCATTTGTGGTGTCCCAGAAGTTCCGGAGAGGAAAAGTGCCAGGTCATCACATTCTTGTTCGTCGAGATTTACCCAATGAAAGGGCTTTTTACCATTTTCGTTAAACGATTCTTTGAAAGCTGACTCGACGTTTGAGATTTGATCTTCAATGGCCGAAACAAATTGGGTGTGTCGGTTGACGGTGATGTCATCCCCATGGCTTCTGTAGCTCATACGGACAGCCCTTTCAAATTCTTCTAACTACATGTCATGGGGGAAAAAAACAAAGTGTAAATATAAAAAAACTACAAAAACTAAAACATCAAATAATAATTTACAAAAATGACAGTAATTACAATATGGGGTTTCGAGGTAAAAATAAAACGAAGAGATTTTTCTTACAATATCCTAAAGAAATATGCAGTGCTAACCTGCCATTTTGCAGTGCCTAAAGCCATTTGAAGCTCTCTCCCAAGTTCATCCAAATGTTGTGGTGGCACTAATCCTTCTTTCCTTGCTCTCACCCACGTCCTATAAGCTGATTCCATTCTGCCGAAGAAAACAAAATGCTACCTTCAGCTAATAATTTGGGACTAATTGAAATAAGCTGTTTAAGGTGCACAGGACAGAACAAATTTTCCATAACAGAGTACCAAATCTAAGGTGTTGTGCACAGGACAGAACAAATTTTCCATAACAAAACTAAGGTGTTGTGCATAGGACAGAACAAATTTTCCATAACAGATTACCAAATCCCCCATCTTCTTTCTTATCTCACCATAAAAACACTCTCAGATAATAATGAAAACCGAATCTCAAGCTGATAATTTGATAGCACAAGTGTTAGCAAACACTGAAAATAGAAAAAAAAAAAAAAAAATCACATTTTCTTCCTCTAATGTCAACATGTGCTTTCGAGTTTGCTTATTGATACGAACTGGAAACTTGAATTTTAAACTCTGCCTAGGGTTGGAGTGTCACACAGATACAAAAGAGTTACTCCTTACAAGTTACAAATCCTTCACCAAATGCTCTGAGCATATGAAAAACACCAACAATTCAGAAAGAACAAAGCAAATTGAGACATACCCATCACCTCCAAACCTCAAACCCCACAAAGAACAACAAAAAAGATAAATTTTAAGGGAAGAAATACTGCAAACAACACTAAAGAAGCAAACTTTACCAAATTCTAGGCACAAATAAATACCACCAAACAAATGAGATCCAAAAGAACACTCACATATCGGCAGATTGCTGAACCTCCTCAGCTGCAGAAAAAAAGGTGTCCTTTTGCCATAAGTCGAAACTGTTGGCGACCAGCATTTTCACCCCCTTTTTCGGTTTCTTTCAAATACGAAGAACAAAAAAATTACGATCTTGAATACAGCAAACAACAAAATATGGACAAATTTTGTATTTGTGAGGAAACAACACATACACCCACAAAAAGAGATAAAAAATAAAAAGAAAAAGAAAAAAATGGAATCTTTCTTCTCTCTTCCTTTCTTTGCTGAGGATTAAGCAAAGAAGGAAGAGAGATATAAGAAACAGACAACAAGGACAGGGGAGAAACAAATCTAGGATCTTTTAATTTTTATTTTTTTTTTCTCCAAATTTTTTGTTTCCTTTGATCCTATTACCGCTGCAAGTATTCTGGGTATGAATGTTTTTTGACAAATTCCTTTTTTTTTTATCTTGTCCACCTTTTTTGGGTATTATGCTTTTGTGCAGAGTGCAATAATTTGCTTTTATTAGAGGTGTAAACAGCCAAACAAGTGGAGAATCAAATTGCAGTCAACAGCTCATCATAGGCCTCCAGTTAAGGCCGGAAATTTTTCGTTAAAACTCCATTGGCCCCCCTAATTTTCAATCAAATCCCACTTTCTGCCACCACCAATTAAAAAATAGTAATTCTAGACAGGAGTATATATTTGTTAGTATTATTGCATTATGTATTTTTAGGGAAAAAGTAATTTAAGTCGCCTAGTATAAGAATTTTTTATTACAAAATTGACAGTTATTCTGCTAAGCATATTTTTTCATAAAAGTGTATTCTTTTATTAGAAAATAATATAGACAAAAGTATGATATTTAAGAGTATAAATATGCAAGTTCTTTTCATATAGTATGACAAGTCAATTCATCTAACTGATGTCTCACTGTAAAAATATATGTTTGAAAATATAATTTGCATGTAATATTGATGTGAAAGAAACTGCGATCACATTAAATAATTTAGATTTTTTTAGTAAATCGTCATTGAATATGGTTGTTAAAAATCTATAATTATATCATTCTTTTAAAAATAATATTTCGATTGATACAAATTTTAGACGACATAATTGTTAAGTTATCGTATTTCACTTAAAATGCATATATTTTGAATTTAAAAGTTTGATATTTGAGTGTAAAATATTATATAAATTTATTAAAAACGTATGAATCTAATGATAGCCTAACACGAGCATTATTTTTCAATAAAAAGACCCTTTACATTGGAAGTCCAAAGGGGATCAAACATTCAATTTTGGTGAGACCTTTAACTAGGAAATACTATTTTCTTAAGGACAACTTGCAATTTCGAGGAATTGGTCATATATGTAGGAGTGACACTTGCACAAGTGTCAAAAAAAAAGTGTCCTAATTTGACCATTACCATTTTGTTTTGGTTGGTCATTATAATTTATAAGTGCCAGCAGAGGGGGCAACAGACAAATACCTCAAGATCAGGGGTCATTATGACAATTGTCCAAAAGCTTGGGAGGTTAATGGCAATTATACTAAATACTGGTATGTGAAGACTGAAAGTACTAGAGAAGTAGAGAGTAGAGACAAAAAAGGCGTCGGCGGGTTAGGGCGAAATGAGTTAAGATGATTAGTTGGAAGTGTGGTTGTAAAAGAGCCGTATAATTAAGTCTTAACTTTATGGTTTAAACGTGAAATTTAACTAACTGAATTAAGAATTTAAAATATTATTCTAATTTTCCGAATCGAACGAGTTGAATTGGCCGAGTTTATTAATTAAAGGTATTTTAAATCAGTTCAATCCGTGCCAAATTTTAGGCTTGACAAGTCGAGCCGAGCTCACTAACACTTATCTTGTTTAACGTATTTAGTCAGAAGTTTAACTGAATGTGGGTCCCACAATTTGCTGCCTTTGACCCCAACCTTAATCAAATTATGTTTAGTAAACTTAACTGATAAGTGAATTCAATCTTATAACTGATAGCTTATGACTGGTAGCCAAAAAGCGAGTTGATATGATAAGTGTCTAGTCGAATTTGATGATAATCCAACTGAACTAAAAAGTTAAGCAGGTTTACTTGAAAATATATCTAAAAAAACATAAATTCAATCTTTTTAAAAAAGCTCGTCTTACCAAACAAAGTTAATTTACATATAAGAAACTTATAAATTAATCAAATAAACTATAACCAAATTTCTTACCAAACACACTTGTTGATTTGTTAGTNTCATAGGAAACGAAAAAAGTAATGAAAAAACGCTATTGACATTTGCAAATGTCTTCATTTTTGCTCTTGATTTCATTCAATAAAAATATTTATTAAATTAATTCTTATTGTCTAAGTGTTATAATATTTTGGCATTTGAGTTGCCTATTCTAATTTGCTTCTACTTCTACCTGTCTTTGTTGATGAATATCCAAAATCTAGAACTAGAAGCGCACCTGCAATTTCTGACGAGTGCTTGTTATATATTTCAACAAACTCACATGAGGCTACAATATAAATTATTTAGTGTCCATCAATCACTATTTAGGTAAAATTCATCTTTCCTTTCGGCACAATCTAAATGTGTTTGTTGACTTAAATCTCATCACGGTTTAGTTTATTTTGTGTTGGTTGATGAGTCATACTAATCCGAGTCACCTGTCATAACAACCATTGTCCACACTCCCACCTTCCATATTTTTTAATTAAATTTAGTAATACCTTTTATCTAAGTTTTCGAATTTAAAATACTTGAAATACAAATTTTTGGCAATCTGTATTTTACAACCATTGTCCACACTCCCACCTTCCATATTTTTTAATTAAATTTAGTAATATCTTTTATCTAAGTTTTCGAATTTAAAATACTTGAAATACTAATTTTTGGCAATCTGTATTTTTCGACCTAGATGAGTTTTTTTGTTTTGATGTTTTATGCGTTCACTATTTGAAATATTTTGTGGTTGCAAAGCATTTTACATAAATTCGTGTGATCTATTATCGTGGCGCAAAATACCAATCACAGTTTCGGCCCTTATCCATTAGTTTGATATGGGCTGAAGAGAGGAAAGAAGGCCCAAACATTTCTTTTTAACCAAAGATTTTAATTTATTGGGGCTTACTATTCTTGGGAGAATCCTATTATGTGCTTATTTTCGCATTGAGAAACGGACCCAACAAAATCACAGTTCTAAATTCTACAAATCCCTAAGAAAAATACTCTGCACTTCAATTTCTCTATTCAAGGGAAATTTCGGAGGGACTTTTGAACCCTTCCATTGATTAATATTTCTTTTTGGCCTCACATTTAGATCTTATGCAAAATGGAAGTCGAGAGGGACCAGGAGCCCGCCGTCGCCACCAATTCGCCGGCCGGAGTTGTAAGCAAACTATCTGTGATGATTTTTACAGACCTTAATTATTTTCATTTTTCACTGCAATTTGGACTTTCACTCGTTTTATTTACTGTTTAAGCTCGATATATACACGTTGCTAAAATTCCCTTTGTTTGGGGCCATTTGGGAAGGGTAAAAATTAAAATTGGGGAATTTTCCGCCTTTTCCCCAAATTTGTGTTTTAGATGTGCCGGGGAAGAACATCTGTTTCAAAAATAGTTGTGTTTTTCGTTTATGGTACTCCATATTTATAGTTTTCCGGCGAGTCGTGGTGGTCGGTTAAAAAAAACTGGAAACTTCGCTGATATATTGCCGGCGGCTAGGAAAACTATGGATTACTCGAGAAGAACGGGCTTTCTATTCATATATTTTTCATAAAAATCCAAACGAGCGCAGTTTAGCTAAAAAAAATAAGTAAAATTTGGAAAATTTAACGATGATTTGACGAACTCCAAGGTAAGTATGATGAAATTGAAAGTATTGTTGGATAGGTCGAGCCAATAGCTTCTAAATGGTATATGATGAAACTGAAAATATGTTGTTCTTTTTAAAATTAAAGTTTAGACAGAGTCCTAACAAAAAATTGTATCTATTTTGCTACATAGATGGCCAGCTGCAATCGTACTCCGAGATTTCGGTTAACAAACACGGAGTGCCTTTCCGAAGATTTGCTATTCAACATTCTCATTCGTCTCCCGGCTCAGGATATCCATGACTCAGCAAGGCCCGTTTGCCGCAGGTGGGACCAGCTGACCCGCTCTCGTGACTTCACTCGCGCGCACTTCCTCCGTGCAGGCACTGGGCTCCTTTTACAAAGTCTGACTTCGCTGGAGGATTTGATTTTTATCTCCTCCAGTGGGCCGGGACTGGCTAAGACATCCCGGTTGCGCCACGAATCGGGCCAGCGTATATGGGCCAGCACTAACAGCCTGGTTTTGGGGCCCTCACCTTCCAATCCACATACTCTCCGCATCGTGAATCCCTGGACAACTGAGTATCTCGATCTCCCTCCGCTTTTCGGTGGGGGAAGAGTTTTAAGGCACAACCTTTGTTTGATGTATGTTGCGGCCACAAACGAGTACAAAGTGGTGCAAGTCCAAATCGCGGGAGGTTTACGTGGCAGCGCGGTTTCCTATGAGTATGTCGTGTTGACTGTCGGGTCCGACACCTCGTGGAGGCTCGTGGACCATCTTTCTCGTGAGACGAAGGCTCTGTTGTCGATTAGTAACCCGTTGACGACTGATGGTTTTGTGCACTGGGTCCCGTGTAGTGGTGGGTCTACTATTTTGACACTTGATGCGGAAACCGAGGTTATGACTGAGTCGAGGCTTCCCGTGCCTTTAGGTCGTTGGGGGGAGAGCGAGTTTTTAGTGTCGGGAGGGAAGAACTTGACGCTTGTGGTGAAAAAGCTCGGGAGGAGTTTCTCGTGGGACGTGTGGGAGATGAGTCCCAAGACGCGGGTGTGGAGAAAGACGGTTAGCGTTGATTTGGAGGACGAGAGGTTAGAAGGGTTTATTCGGGACAGAGATGAAAAGTTGGCTTTCAATACAAGTTATGTTCGTTTTTTTCCAGTCGGTTGGCTAAATTATCCGGAGGTTTTGGTGTTTGCTCCGAGTAGAGGTCGATATTGCATGTTGTATTGGGTTCGTACGCGTGAGATTGAGTCGATTGATCTGCCTAAGGAAAGCTATAGTTATATGGCCCATCAGAGTGGGTTGGTGTCACCCACAGGATGTTGATGGATATATCGAGGTTGTGTGTCTTGTTTAGAAGTCATTTTTTTTTTTTTTTTTTTTTTNCTGCAGTAAAAGCTATTGTTAGTTTCTTGGTAGTCTGGAAGCCATTTTTCTGCAATAGGTCTATTGTTAGTTTCTTGGTAGTCATATCTCAAGATGATACCAAACATTTACTTGGCTAATCAGTGGGATATAAAGTTCGTATATAAAAGTTGATTTACAGTTGAGAAACATGGATATGAAAACTGATCGACCTCCATTACCTGACTTCCGACCAGTCGAGGCTTCCAAGATGCCGTGCATCCAACCGGAGACCTATTACAGTGGGTCAAACCACCAATCGAGATCTTTTTTTTTTTTCAATCGAGATATTTATTTTTTACATTAAGTCTGCCATTAATGGCGGACACGAGCTCGAAGCTTGGATTTTCGATGACCTCTTCGATGATGGCCAGGAATTCGGCAACCTCGAATCATCCATGTCCAGTCATGTCCACGTTCAGCCACGAAGAAACCTCCTGCCATCTCATGCGTTCAGAGCGCCCCAGCCACCACAACATCTTTCTTTTTCTTTCTTGTTAGTCAATCATTGCTTGAATTCGTGTCCGAATAACCTTTTTCGAGAACACAACCTGAGGTCGGAATTTATTCCGTAATCGGCTAAAAACTACTTAACAAGCACCACGTCGCACAAGGCATCAAGCACCATCATCTCCTCTTATGGATCGTGATCGCGCGTCGCGACTCAAATTAAAGACTCGTCTCTAGCATTTAAACTATTAATATCTAATGTAGTTGGTCAGACTAAATCAAACACCATAATTCATAAATATTAAACATAGATAGCATGAATCAACCCATCAACAAAAATATTAATCAACGATAAACAAAGATCATTAAATCTATAGACAAATCGAAATTAGGGTCCAAACATTCCCTAAAAATGAATAAAAAAATTACCTAACATATTAATAAAAATAAAAGATAAAAGAGATAAAAAGAGAGAATAAAATCTCTCTGGTGTGTAGGTGCGGCTTCACTCCGCCTTGTCTGTGCTCTATCCGTGCGTGCGTCTTTTTTTCCTTCTTGTTTATTTTTTCTTCGTCTAGCTCACGGTTTTTTCTCTCTGGCTTAACAAATATATTTTTTTCTCCAAGATTAAATGTCTCCAGCCTTCATAAAACGTGGCCCTCCAATGCGTGAGTGTCCAGGAAGCTCACAACTCTTACAAATCGATTCAATTTTTTTCTTTTTTTCTTTTACTCCCACGTAACCAGCTTCACTTTTGCTCCTTAAGCCAACAAATAAATTATATTGAGCTTTTGATTTCATTAATCTTAGGCTCAAATTAACCATGTCTAAATTTTTGTTTGGTACCACGTCACTCGTTAAAATAGTCAAATATCCTTAACCATAAAAATATCAAAGCAAATAAATTCATCAAAATAATAAATAAGTCGAAAAATATAAGCGTGTAAATAAATTAAGTGAATAAGTATACACTATTAAATATATAAAACATACACATTTTTCGACCTACCAGATTGGCACCGCCATCTACGATCACGCCCCAGAGAACCCTGCCCTTCAACTTGACCTTCATCTGAAGCGCCCACATTCAGAGTTGTAAAAAAATATAATTTGGCATTAATCAAAAATATTATTTAATTATCATATTTATGTTTGAAATAGGTATCATGTAATTAATGCTTGAAGAGAAAGGGAAGAACTTCTTAATCTTAACTTTCCATATTTTAGTTATTCTCCTATTGTATATTTGGATTTAATTATCTTCCTTTAGCTTGTAGGTAAAGAAATATATTAGATTCATTAGAAGATTTTATATATACACTTTCCTTATTTGGATATTCTCTTACAATATGTTATGGTATTTATTTAATTGTTTTCTTTTACTTGTAGGAAAAGGAAGAGCAATGATGATAAAGAGAAGATATTCTTTTAAGATTTGAGAGCTGAAATCATGAGGAAGAGAGCTGGAAAATCGAGCAAGAAAAGGAAAGAAATTGGCAAGAAGATATTTCTGAAAGTTCGCATGGAAATAAGGAAAGAAAGTTCGCAGGATTGAAGAGAGAGACGCGTTGAAATCTGGAAGATTTGGGCAGAATATTCGTGCATGAAGACTTATATAGCATGGAGATTTAGTTTTCAAAAGCTGAACAGAAGATCAAGTAAATTTGAAAACTCCAGATTTCTGATAAACCTGCATACCTTATATAGTTGTATATATATTAGTTTCACGAGTTCCAGTTAAGAACGAGCGATTCCATTATTCATTCACAGAGTTTAAAGTTTTATTCATTGAGAGCTCGTGAGTCTTTGATTATATTTTATAGAGCGATCGGATTCTAGCGTGAAGGTTCATCTCTGGTAATTCGAGCTGTCAGTTTCTATTTTCTGTTTTACTTGGTGCTTGGGAGCATCTTCATACTGCTTGGAATGATCCATACGTGCAGTTCGTAAGTCCACGCCGTGGCCAGAAAAGTAGTTAGGTAGGTGGAGTACAAAGTAGGTTAGCTTAGAGGGAGTCTATGCGTGTAAATCCTATTTGTACTTATTGGCCAAACACTTACTTAATGAAAGAGTTCTGAGGGAGAGTGAGACGCTCTCTTGAAAGTTCGTTTTTATTTATTCGCTTCTACAATTTTACATGAGCGTTCATTGTTTTTAGTATCAACGCGAATTTAGTACTCCCCCGGAATTTTCAAGAGTAGTTGGTCTTGGTGAAAACGGGATAACTACTTCCGCCGCTCACCTCACCGATCACGTTGGATCACAACGCCGTCCTTTGAGAAACCTTCGACGTTCTTCTTCTCACTCATGGTCATAGGTACGAGTAGCTCTGATACCATTTGTCAGAAACTCACCAGAGAGACAACACCCAATTGCCGGGGAGATCATGGCCAAAACACAAATACAAAAGAAAACTCTCGCGAACACCAAAGAAAACGCTCTTGTTTGGTGCTTTTGAATTGACACATTTGTTTGTGTTATTCTATTGCTTATATAGGGTACTACAAGGAGCTGAATAAGACCTAAGAATCAACACTACACTAAAACTATAATTAAGCAAATATTCACATCTAATCTAAGGAAACAACTAAGGAAAACAAATAAACTAATTTAGGTGCACAAAGATTATATCCTATAATATACTGGAGCTGATAAATCCGCCAGGAGGGTAAGTTCGGAGCTACAACGGCAACGGAGGATACCGACGTGGGTTTGGGAGCTAGGGGGTGCAGGAGATTGGAGGGGATGAAGGAGGGCGGAGACGGCGGAGGAAGAGACGGTGATGGAGGCACGTGTTGGAGAAGCTGGCCGAGCTGGGAGGACAAAGGACGAGTGGGAGTGAATGAGGTTCTCAATCACGTGGCTATCTGATTGGGAGGTGGCGTTCATCAGGATCGTGTCGTGGTACAACAATTGCGCGCGTTTTTCGGCTGGGTATGTGTCTTTTTTGGCCGCCTCATTGGAGATCATTACGTAGAATTAGAATTAATTGTCTTAGAAATTATTATGGTGTTATACATTATAATTATTACTTATAAATTAGAATTTATTACTAATATTTTAGAAAAAGCTATCGAGCGTGCAAAAAAAGTTGCAATTATATGTGGTTTCGAATTGATCATCTCAAAACACAAAAAAAGAAGGAAAGCAGAGGGTTTTGAGGTGTCACAAAGGGGAACGTTACATAGGCAGTATCGAAGATTTAGCTAAGGCTGTTGTGAGACATCAAAAACTAAAGCGGCCAACTGTCCTTTTGAGATAAAAGTCAAATTGGAGGCATGATCTACAATGACTGTGTATACCGAGGGTCATCGATAGATGAGCAGACTTCGGCCAAGTGACAAAACTTTTAGTGGTTTAATTGCTGCATTGAAATTAAATTTAGCTATAGCAATATCATCATGATCCCAAGCGTGATAAAATTGATTCGATTAAATACAAGTACATTAGAGAATGAAAGTCAACGGCAAGATATTTTCATTAATACTTCAATTAAACATGAGTTTGAATGCTTTTCCTACTATAATATTCACATGAATCATATAACTTTGAGAAAAGTGTCAAACAATCTTGTTAGAGATAATTAGTATTATGTTATATAACATAATAATTTCTAAATTCTAACATAATAATAATAAAATTCTATAAGGTAATTAATTATAATTTATAACATAATAATTTCTAAGTTCTAACATAATAATAATAAATTCTAATTTATAACGTAATATCTAAATTCTAATACAATTTATATAATAAATAAAAATTTGATTATAAAAAAATTAAGATAAACTCGTAAGGCCTAATTATATTACAATACTAATTATAATTTCACTAATATATATATATAATATATTAATTATAACCAAGATTCTGTAAACCGGACCGGTCATCGAACCGGTCTAACTAATGGCTCAATTATTATCTTATGAAGTATAATTTATTGATATTATGTTAAAGTTGGAAATTATTTTGTTATAGATTAGAATAGATTATCTTATTTTGTTATGAACTTGTTGAGGATAAAAAAATGATACTAGTATAATTAGTATAAATTATATTATTATAAATTAGAAATGATACTAGTTTGAAAAAAATTATATTAGTATAAATTATTATGTTATAGATTTGAATTGATTATTTTATAATTAGAATTTATTATTATTGTGTTAGAAGTTAGAAATTATTATGGTATGGAATTAGAATTGATTGTTTTATAAATTTAAATTTATTACTATTTTGTTAGAAGTTAGAAATTATTGTATTATAGATTAGAAATGATTATCTTATACATTAGAATTTATTACTATTATGTTAGAAGTTAAAAATTATTGTAGTTAATGAAAATAATCATATACGACTCCATCTACAGAATATAAAAAATANGATACATATTCTGTTAAAATAAAAAAACCATACATATCATAGTGTATTTTTATCATATAATTATACATAAAAGTAACAAAATTAAATGTTTTGTGTATAAATTTGTACATTAAATTGTTAACAATATGTATCTCATGATAAATAATTACCATATATAAACATATATACATCGTTTTATTTAAAAAAATAAAAAATAAAAAAAAAAGTATATATGGACCGGGTCAAGCGGGTTAACCCGGCTGAGTCAATGCCCCGGGTCGGCCGGATTTTGACCGGGTTTGACCAGGTCCGTTGTTGCCCGGTCCAAATAGTCCACCCGGACCAGTTCTGGCTCCGGGTCGACCCGTCGAGCCGGTCTGGGTCAAAAAACTATGATACATGTACTATTAATGAAACTTTCAATTCACGTACGTTTCAATGAATATTAAAATTAAAAAAAAAGGACATAATTTTCGATGAAAAAATATATCTTAATTTGATCGACCTTTCTCCTTTTTTTGGGTATATTTTGCGTAACCGGTTCTTGAGCAAAAAGTTGATCAAATCGTCTCGTTTTTCTTTCTTGTGATGATGATTAAAATTCAAATTTCATATCTTTCCATTTTTTTGGCAAAATTGTTTTTATGATTTAAATTCCATAGTNCATAAGGAAATCAAGAATTACAAATAATGAATTTAGTTAGATATGGTCTTTTAGGTAAAGACACGATTAATTGTACTTGTACGATAAAATTACAAATAACTTGAAAATCGCGTAGGAGATATAAAAAATTTCGAATATAAATTGTTAAATTGGGCCTTGATCCGATTATATTTAGGTAAAGACACAATTAATGGGTTGTTTTTAATTTTTTATTTTTTATTTATTTTTTAATATTTGTGGGAGAGTCCTATTATGTGCTGATTTTCGCACTGAGCAACGGACCCAACAAAATCTTTCCAGCCTATAAATCACAGTTCTAATGTTTTCGGCCTCACATGCAAAATGGAAGTCGAGAGCGACCAGGAGTCCGCCGTCGCCACCAATTCGCCGGCCGGAGTTGTAAGCAAACTATATGTGATGATTTTTACATACCTTAATTATTTTCATTTTTCACCGCAGTTTGAACTTTTACTCGTTTTATTTACTGTTTAAGCTCGATATATACATACATACACGTTGCTTAAATTTCCGTTTGTTCGGGGCCATTTTGGAAGGGTAAAATTGCAAAATTTTCCCCAAATTTGTGTTTTAGATGTGCCGGGGAAGAAAATCTGTTTTAAATATAGCTGTGTGTTTCGTTTATGGTACTCCATGTTTATAGTTTCCCGCCGAGTCGTGGTGGCCGGGAAAAATTGGAAACTTCGCTGGTATATTTAACGATTAGAAAAGTTTAGAAAATTTAACGATGATTTGACGAACTCCATGGTAGATGAAATTGAAATATGTTGTTCTTTTAACATTACAGTTTAGACAGATTCCTAACAAAAAATTGTATCTATTTTGGTACATAGATGGCCAGCTGCAATCGTACTCCGATTTGTTATTTCAGGCGGAGGTTTCGGTCAACAAACACGGAGTCCCTTTCTGAAGATTTGCTATCCAACATTCTCCTTCGTCTCCCGACTCGGGATATCCATGACTCGGCTCGGCTCGTTTGCCGCAGGTGGGCCCAGCTGACCCGCTCTCGTGACTTCACACTCGCGCACCTCCGCCGTGAGGGCAGTGGGCTCCTTTTACAAAGCATATTTTCACGTGAGGATTTGATTTTTATCTCCTCCAGTGGGCCGGGCCGGGCCGAGACATCCCGGTCGCGCCTCGAATTGGGCCGAGACCCCACGGGCCTGCGTATATGGGCCAGCTCTCACGGCCTTGTTTTGGTGCCCTCACCTTCCAATCCACACTCTCTCCGCGTCGTGAATCCCGGGACAACCGAGTATCTCGATCTCCCTCCGCTTTGCAGTGGGAGAAGATTTTTAATGCACTGCATTTGTTTGATGTATGTTGCGGCCACAAACGAGTACAAAGTGGTGCAAGTCCAAATCGCGGGAGGTTTACGTAGCAGGGCGGTTTCCTACGAGTGCGTCGTGTTGACTGTCGGGTCCGACACCTCGTGGAGGCTCGTGGGCACGGAGGACAGTCTTTCTCGTGAGACGAAGCCTCTGTTTTCGCTTAGTAGCCCGTTGACGACCGATGGTTTCGTGCACTGGGTCCCGTGGATGGGTGGGTCTACTATTTTGACACTTGATGCGGAAACCGAGGTTATGACCGAGTCGAGGCTTCCCGTGCCTTTAGGTCGTTGGGGTTGGGGGAAGAACGAGTTTTTATTGTCGGGAGGGAAGAATTTGACGCTTGTGGTAAAAAAGCGCGGGGGGAGTTTCTTGTGGGACGTGTGGGAGATGAGTCCCGAGACGCGGGTGTGGAGAAAGACGGTTATCGTCGATTTGGAAGAAGACGAGAGGTTAGAAGGGTTTATTCGGGACCGTGATGAAAAGGTGTATTTTTGGGATGCAAATGATGTTCGATTTTTTCCAGTCGGTTGGCTAAATTATCCAGAGGTTTTGGTGTTTGCTCCGAGTAGAGGTCGATATTGCATGTTGTATTGGGTTCGTACGCGTGAGATTGAGCCGATTGATCTGCCTAAGGGAAAATATGATTATGTGGCCCATCAGAGTGGACTGATGTCACCCACATGATGTTGATGGATATACTGAGGTTATGTTTCTTGTTTAGAAGTAATGGAGATAAAGGACAAACATCTTTAGATCTTTAATTTAGTTATTTATTTGTTTTGTTTATTGTTAGTATTTTAATTCTAGATTTGATTAATTAGTAAAAGTATTTGATGATTTTAATCTTTTATTTGGTAGGAAAGATATTAAATTATCATTTTCTTGTTAGACAAGTTATTTATTTAGGGTTTTAGGAGTTCTATTTAAAGAACTTCTCTCCTATTATTTTTTATGGTGAAGTTTATGAATTAAGGAAATTTTTTGGAGAGTTTTATCTCCTGTTTTTTCATTCGTACACTTTCACTACATCAGTTGGTATCCAAAATATAGTACTTTTCAAGATTCCGCCAAAGAGGACCGACACTTTGATGCCGCCATTGAATCGTTGAGCCGCTAATTAGCGGATATGGCTACGGGTTTCGATCGGCAATTCGATCTCATGGATCGTCGGATCACAGATTTGGTTGAGGGGTTCAAGGAGAGGTTGGCTGATCATAATGTTGCACCACATGATCGAGTGAACCGAGCCCACGGCAGGGGTCGCGGTCTGGGTTCACGTGGGCGCCCGGCGCTCAGTCGCCTCCACCGTTGGTTGGAGATGTGTTCGCCTATATTTTTAAAACTCGACCGCAAGTGTACAGCTTCGCTCGTAGTATGTGGCAAACAAGGTCATATCCCAATAGCCCAAATAATTAATGTATCAATTACTAGATTATGATAGTGTCAACTTTATTTAGACAACCGAAAATGAGATGAATTAGTTAAAATAAGAAAATAAATCAAAGTAAATAAAGAAAAAATAAAGAACCAGCTAGAAAAACATTTAAGAAATTATATGAGAATGATAGATTCTAAGACTATGATTTCAATTAACAGTTGGGTTCCTTAAAAAATATCACAACTAAATATTTCCTCTATCTACCCTATAAGATGATCACAGATTTAACTTATCGTCCCTTCCCTTTGAGATCGATAAAACCGTAGATGAAATCACATATATTAGTATCTCTACTCAACACATGCAATTCAACTCCAAATAGATTAAAAGATCTAATATCCTCACAACGACCTATCCAGGTTCCCCTCCTCCCAAAATAGGGTAAATGCCTTTTATAATGTCCAAAACTCTTCTCCTTTTCAAAATAGGCAAGAAATAAAAAGTAGACTGCGCGCGCGACACGGCCATCCTGTCCATGTCACGGTCCGTGTCGCAGCCCGTGTCAGCTAAAAGGCCTCGAAATGTCTCTGTTGAGGTGACACATATTGGTTTCTGTTAGGAACGTCGATGGCATGCACGTTTGAATTTGGCAAAATAAACCCTAACGCAACGGAATCTATAGTTAGGGTTAAGACATTACCGTTTAAAATTCTTGCCGACTCAGAGACGATTCTGATTTCCACTATAGAAGATCGTCTGAACCGCAGAGTCCGTTGGGCAGCCGCACTAGTCCACCTTGATCGAAATCGGGTCGTTGGATCACGAAGGGATCACCAGGTTAAGGACTTGTCGGGTTTGGGCCGGTCGGACACAGTTGGGCCCGGTCGGGTCACGGCGGGTCCCGAGACGTGTGGGAGATGAGTCCCGAGACGCGGGTGTGGAGAAAGACGGTTAGCGTCGATTTGGAGGACGAGAGGTTACAGGGGTTTATTCGGGACCGTGATGAAAAGAAGGTGGCTTTTTTGGATGCAAATGATGTTCGGTTTTGTCCGGTCGGTTGGCTAAATTATCCGGAGGTTTTGGTGTTTGCTCCGAGTAGAGGTCAATATTGCATGTTGTATTGGGTTGGTACGCGCGAGATTGAGTCGATTGATCTGCCTAAGGAAAGCTATAACTATACGGCCCATCAGAGTGGATTGGTGTCACCCACAAGATGTTGATGGATATATTGAGGTTGCGTTTCTTGTTTAGATGTCATTTTTTTTTTTTTTCCCTGCAGTAAAAGCTATTGTTTCTTGGTAGTCATATCTCAAGATGATACCAAACATTTACTTGGCTAATTATTGGGATATAAAGCTCGTTTATAGAAGTTGATTTACAGTTGATCCATTACCTGACTTCCGGCCAGTCGAGGCTTCCAAGACTCCGTGCAACTGACCGGAGATCTATTACAGTGGACCAAACCACCAATCGAGATTATATTTTAAATATAGAATATTATAAGTTATATTTATACATATAATATTAAAATTATAAGTTAAATAATACTATTATGTTTTAAAAATATGAAAGATCTCCCTCCAAGCCGTACATACGACTTTCATCGAATACGGCTTTCCGCATTTGATCATTGGTTAAAATACATAAGGATTTCATTGCATATGAATCACAATATGGATTGCATAAAATGTACTAAGTAATATATTTTTTTTTTTCAATTTTGAGAGATTAATCGATTATGACCAATTAATTAGTTGAAAAATATTAAATTTATTATAATAATTGCTTATGCGAGTTAAGGAATTTTACTATGACATTAAAACAAATTAATTCATTAAACAATAATAATCACTTAATAAAAAGTATAATATTGATTTTAGAATAAATAACTTGAACAAAAAAATATAATTAATTTTTTGTAAAATATAATTATTAATTTTAATAATAACTATTATATGATACAATAAAAAATATATTACTCAGTTAGTAAAAATGTAACGATTTTTGTTTTAATGAACCTAAAAAAAATTCATGAGGAACATTTTTATGATTTGACAATTTTTCTACGTATTATTATTTTTTTATTTATTAACAAATTTTAGTTTATAATATTTCGCTCTTTCATTTATTAAAACACTTCAATTTATAATATACCCTAAAAAAATACAGCAGCTCGTGCATCGCACGAGTTACGTACTAATTAAAGAGATATGGCCGTTTTATTTTTCATAGCTAAAACTAATTATTTGGTAGAGTTATTAATATAATATCTTTTATATTGGTAGTATAGATGCAATTAAAGACAATACAAAACGTGTAGGAGAGAGAAATAAAAAATTTTCGATATAAAACTGTTAAATTGGGCTTTGATCCGTTTTTCTCATATTTGTGCGAGAGTCCTATTATGTGTTGATTTTCGCATTGTGAAACGGCCGGACCTAGGCGCGACTGGCTTTGACTATTTTGCCCCCCAGAACTTGACGGGAGACCCGGTTGACGGCGGGTCTCGTCGGTCCACAGCCGCGGAGGGGGCACCGCCGTTTATTTCTGGATCCAGACGTAGGGGTGCCGCTCTGCCAGAGTCCGACTCGTGGACTTTCACCGAGATGCCTGTAGGAAGGGCGTGGATCCCCGGGTCTATGGTCAGAATTTCTTCAAGAAGGCCGCAGCCCGCTCGTCCGCCGTGTGGTCGGGCTGCTGGTACTCGTCCGGGTGCAGGCTTGGGTGATCCTTCCTCTGGTTTTATTTTCGAGCCCTCCGGTGTGTTCGTGGTGACTCCTCCTTTTCTTCGCCGACGCTGAAGTCTTTCGGAACCCAGATCTAGAGCGAGAACGGCCTCCTCGCCGGATCTGTCTAGGCGGTTGTCTGCAGTTTTTGGGTTCGGGCTTTAGAATTGTGGCTTTGTTGTGCCTTTAGCTACGGTTTGGGGCCTCGGGAGTCGGTTAGGTTGTCATTTAGCTCACCTGCTTGGATTAGGGGAGGTCTTATTTTATTTGTTTATTAGGTGTGAGTTGTATTTTGTTTTTATTTTGTTGGTTTGTTTGGTTTAGTGCAGCTATGTCTGCTTTGAGTGCAGTTTTGTCTGCTTTGAGTGCAGTTTTGTCTGCTTTTCTCTCCTTTTATGGAGTTTGTGTTTTGTTTTTGTGTTGTGGTTGTTTGCCTCCTTGATGGAGTTTGTACCCCCTTGTGTGTGATGACGAGAAGGGTTGGTCCAGTCTTCTGGTTCCAGTGTGTCATTTGACAACTCTTTCGAGTTTTTAAGTTATTAATATAATTGATGTTGAAANGAGCGACCGGGAGTCCGCCGTCCCCACCAATTCGCCGGCCGGAGTTGTAAGCAAACTATATGTGATGATTTTTAACTATTTTCAATTTTCACTGCTGTTTGAACTTTCACTCGTGTTATTTACTGTTTAAGCTCGATATATACACGTTGTTTAAATTTCCCTTTGTTTGGAGCCATTTTGGAAGGGTAAAATTGGGGAATTTTCCGCCTTTGCCCCAAATTTGTGCTTTAGATGTGGCGGGGAAGAAAATCTGTTTTAAATATAGCTGTGTTTTTCGTTTATGGTACTCCATGTTTATAGTTTCCTGCGAGTTGTGGTGGCCGTCACTGGCCGGTAAAAGGTGGAAACTTCGCTGGTATATCGCAGGCGGCTAGGAAAACCATGGTTTCCTCGAGAAGAAAGGGCTTTCTATTCATATACTTTTCATAAAAATCCAAACGAGCGTAGTTTAGCTCAAAAAACTTTGAAAAATTTAGAAATATTGCGCATGATGAAATTGAAAGGTACTATTGGATAGGTCGAGTCAATAGCTTCTAAATGGTATGAGATTTTTTAAATCCGCCGGAATTTTGAACCAAAGCTATTTATAGTTTTTGAAACGTTAGGACTAATATTGAATAAGTTGAAACTTGGGATATATTTTGGGTATTAAAAGTGAAAATTTCCATCCTGCACATAAAAAAAAGAATAGTATATTGACAAACTGAAATATGTTGGTCTTTTAACATTAAAGTTTATACAGATTCCCAACAAAAAATTGTATCTATTTTGCTTACATAGATGGCCAGCTGCAATCGTACTCCGATTCGGTTGACAAACATGGAATCCCTTTCCGAAGATTTGCTATTCAACATTCTCATTCGTCTCCCGGCTCATGATATCCATGACTCGGCAAGTCTCGTTTGCCGCAGGTGGGCCCACCTGACCCGGTCTCGTGACTTCACACTTGCGCACCTCCGCCGTGCGGGCACAGGGCTCCTTTTACAAAGTCTGACTTCGCTTGAGGGTTTGACTTTTATCTCCGGCGGGCCGGGCCGGGCCGAGCCATCCCGGTTGCGCCACGAATCGGGCCTGCTTATACGGGCCAGCTGTCACGGCCTGGTTTTGGTGACTCCATCTTCCAATCCATATACTTCCCGCATCGTGAATCCCGTGACAACCGAGTATCTCGATCTCCCTCCGCTTATCGATAGAAGATATTCTAGTGGCAGTTTTTGTCTGGTGTATGTGGGGGCCACGGACGAGTACAAAGTGGTGCAAATCCGATTGAAGATAGACTTACGTGGTGCAGTTGCCTATGAGTGCACCGTGTTGACTGTCGGGGCCAACACCTCGTGGAGGCACGTGGGCGAGGAGGACCTTCTATCTGATGATATTATATTTTCGCTTGCTAACCCATTGACGACCGATGGTTTCGTGCACTTGGTTCCGATCCCAAATCGTGGTGGGTCGACTATTTTGGCAGTTGATGCGGAAACCGAGGTTATGACAGAGACGCGGGCTCCCGTGCCTTTAGGTCGTGAGAGGGAGAGCGAGTTTTTATTGTCAGGAGGGAAGAATTTGACGCTAGTGGTGAAAAAGCTCGGGGGGAGTTTCTCGTGGGACGTGTGGGAGATGAGTCCCGAGACGCGGGTGTGGAGAAAGACGGTTATCGTCGATTTGGAGGAAGATGAGAGGTTAGAAGAGTTTATTCGGGACCGTGATGCGAATGATGTTCGGTTTTGTCCAGTCGGTTGGCTAAATTATCCGGAGGTTTTGGTGTTTGCTCCGAGTAGAGGTCGATATTGCATGTTGTATTGGGTTTGTACGCGTGAGATTGAGTCCGTTGATTTGCCTGAGGATGCTGCAAGTTATAAGTATATGGCCCATCAGAGTGGGCTGGTGTCACTTACAAGATGTTGATGGGCCCATTTACACGCTTGCTTAATGAAGTGAAAATAATTGCACATAAACGGATGGAGAAAAACATTAGCATATCTACGAAATCTATAGGAAATAATTATGAAAATGCATAATGTCAGTTTACCAAAATAAAGAACGATTATGTTCCTATAATTCCGTGGCAATCACAATGAAAGAAAAAAACATCTCATTAACATGGAAAGAATGGTGATGAACACGGCCATGCACCATCGAAAATCCGAGCTTCGAGCTCGTGTCCGCCATTAATGGCAGACTTAATCTAAAAAACTAAAGATCTCGATTGGTGGTTTGGCCCACTGTAATAGATCTCCGGTCAGTTGCACGGAGTCTTGGAAGCCTCGACTGGCCGAAAGTCAGGTAATGGGGTCGATCGATTTTCATATCCACGTTTCTCAACTGTAAATTAACTTCTATAAACGAGCTTTATATCGGAATAATTAGCCAAGTAAATGTTTCGTATCATCTTGAGATATGACTTACCAAGAAACAATAGCTTAGACTGAAGAAAAATGAATCCTAGACTACCAAGAAACAATAGTTTTTACTGCAAAAAGAAAAAAAAAAAAAAATGACTTCTAAACAAGAAACGGAACCTCAATATATCCATCAACATGAGGAATTTGCACCCCTTACCACAAGTTATGATTTTTATTACATTTATATACCCCTTATATTTTTATTTATAAAATTATCTAAACAAACTAAAAATATTTTAATTATACCTAATGTAACCGTATTACTTTTTTATGGCATATTAAATGCTAACGAGATCCTTAATTGAAATTAAACTGCCCACATCTCTTCTCTCTCTGCAGATCTATCATATCTTCCTTCCCCCTCTTCGCCATCGATCCCCCTTCAGATCCGTCTTCCCATCACCGTCATCTCCAGATCCCTCCTCTCCTTCCCAACTCCAGATGAAAATGTAAAAACTCATAAAATTCAAAACTAAAAACTCACTAATCCCAATCAAAGAAAAAAATTTAATCGACCTTGATGAAGGCCTTGATGCACGATTTCTTCGCCCGCTTCTTGTCGGAGTCCTTGCGGATGACCTTCGCCGGGTACTTGGCGACGCCGGCGACGAGGCAATGGCCGTAGAGGCGGTCGCGGGTGCCGTCGTCGAAGTTCTTGAGGACGGTGGCCTTGTGGCCGGTGTAGCGGCCCTGGAGGAGTATCATCGCCTTGTTCGCCTTGATGAATTTCACCATTTTTCTTTTCGCTTTGGTGGAGGCTCCTGCGCTGCTGTTGAGCTCTGTGTGGCAATGTTAATGGTTGATTAGGAATTTTTGCAATGCGGAAATGAAAGGGCCTGGCCACCTGGGTAGTAGCTAAATGATTGTGATAGTGAAAAGAGTATGCTAATGGGCTTTACTTGTTTTATTTTCAGTATATCTACGGTATATACACAGTCTATGTTCATGGTAGCATATGTTATATGTTGCAGGCAGGCTGTATATGTGGTTATATGTTCAGTATATTAGAAGATTTTTTTGTAAACTGTTCAGTTTATGTTATGTGTAAATAGAGTATATGTTCAGTATATTAGAAGATTTGTTTGTATAAGGAATATAAGTAATATATTATAATATGTTTATAAATTATATATATACATTTATGAAGAAAATTTTAAAAAAAAAGACATAATTTTTTATGGAATACATATTTTTCATTGTAACATATACTAAATATATTAATATATACTCAACTGGACAGCTACGTGAATTGTTTATTTTCCTGTTAACGCATCGCGGAAATCACGCCCAAGATATGGAATGGACGCCCAAGATATGGAATGGATGATGTTTACTGGGTAACTGATTTTTAGGCATTAACGTAATTATTTTTGGTCAATTAAGTAGATACCAAATTATTTGTTATTCAATAGTAAATTTAAAATTTCTTTAATTTCGTGTGGTATATATAAAAATTTCCCTTTTTTTAACTGGGAAAACCTTCAGTTGGTGGGTGGCCCGCATAGACAGCGGGTCAACTCACAAATATAAATACAACAACGTTACAATCTAAGATGGAAAAAGAAAAAAAAAATCACAAATGGCATTGCCTAAGTTATGTGATACAACTTGGAGGGCTTCAAATCTCGAGTGACATTGAAATAGTTCAATGTCTTAATCCACTTTTCCTGGGTCTTCAAAAGGTGAACCGCTATAGTATCCGGCCAAAGCTCGTGCGTGCATCCAGTGTGTGGCTCCGGATAGTTGTACATCGACCATTTCGCGTTGTACCTATTCTTTCCTCGGCGACCATCCCGGAGCCACTCCCCAAATACCTTATCTTCCGGTCCTTCTAGATGTTTCTTGGGGATGTCCGAATCTCTGAGCCACTCAACAATGTCCCACGACACTAAATATCCCATACCCGACATGTAATGCACAAACGGGTCCATACTAGGGCACGGTATGACGTAGCCGTAGTACAAGTCTTCTCTAGGCAATGACCTCAACGAGTCAACTAGATTTTGCAATCTAAAATACGCGTCATCATCCCCTTTTATTACATAATGATAAGGCGGATATGGTACACTCGTGTCGTTAAGCAACATGTCGGGCAGACTCGAAAAATACGTGTAGGTCTTACCTTTGTTCATGTTCTCTTTGCAATTGAGGATGATTATGTCGTCGAAACGCATGATTTCGAGTGTCACTAAGATTTTTTGCTCTTCCTTGGTGAGATTGCAAAACACGAACTTGACGTCTACACGGGCACCGACCAGGGATTGCGTCCCGTAGACGAGCCGGAGGAAGTGCCTCTTGTGGTAGTGATCGGGAAGTGTTAGGATCCCGATCAGTATCCTCATGTCGTCGCTCGACGAGGATGGCAAAGGCGATGTGTTAATTTCGAGCGTTTCAAGCGGCGATGAATGGAAAAAGGCACATTGGCCAAACTTTACGAGACTATCAAAACGAATTTCATTTATCGAGGCTAATATGCAAAGGAAGATGACCAAGAAAAAGCAAGAGACGATGAACTTCCAACCATCGAACAATCTATTTGGTTTCGTCATTAGGGCCACTTGAATCTTTGGTGACTAGATGGGGAAAGGTTGCTAATGAGCAGAGATAGAGAGATTGATAGTGAATGTGAGCATAGCTATAATAAATGTGAAGTGTTACCTTGGATTTAAAGAGTTTAGTTGGCAAAGTCTTGTGATTGAGTCGAGGAAATTGACTTTTGAACCTTAAAGGAAGGGAAAAAGTGGCTCATAGAGAAGAGCCTAACGTTAGAGTTACTCTATAGGCCATTTTGTATGCAGATTTCATAGGCAATTTTAGTCAACCTTGTTCAATTCATTAGGTGATTTTTTGTGAACATGGTAGGTTTCAAATTTTTTTCTCCACTTGTTGAACATTCTTGAGTTTGAAGTTATTGACTGCTCGAAGGAAAATAAAAAATGAAAATGCATTTTGTTGATCCAAGATGCAAAGTGATTAATCAATCATTCACTATATAGTGAAATTTATTTATAATTAATGTTTTGGTTTTTATTAACTATTTAGTGACACTAAAATAAATGAAGCACAAACAATACATGATCCTTAATTTGGTAGAGTAAGTTATTTCAATAACAGAATATGGATCTGCTCATAAATATGGTCATCTATCTTTTTGTTAACCGTTAAGTCTATCTAACAATAATGTTAATACATGTTAAAAAAATATATCAAGAATAAGTTTTTTGAGTTAATTTATGTAGCTTATGTAAAATTATTAAATCTATGACTTATAAAATAATGTATGTTTACTATTACACTATTTTATATATATGCATATTTTAACAATCGTAAATTATCTCTACAAATAAGTATAAAGTTTGTTGAGTCCAAGTGTCAATTTTTGGTGTTTTTTATGATTCTATGCCTTAATTAATTTATTGTATGAGTAATCTTATGTGTTAGAATTTTAGTGATTCGAAGCAATTCATGTAGTTATGAACTTTTCTCAATCTCTACTAAAACTTAAAATTATAAATCACCTAACTAACTTAAAAATTATTTTAAAACATCATAAATTTTTTTGTTAGTTATCAATTTTATATCCGATACATCAAATTAGTAATTTTTATTATTTTTTTATTATTTTTTATTTGACATCAATATTGTTATATAAAATATAAAATGTATATCTCCCTTTCAGAGTGAGCCCTATTTATGTCATTTGAATAAAAAATACTAATTTTATTTTTTTAATAATTATTAAAAATTAAAAATAATAAATTTTATTTAATGAATTTCAAGTATAAATTTACGAATAAGGAGCGTGTTAATTGTGCAGAAGAGGAAATAAATAATAAATAAAATCAAAACCAAGGATCAATAAACGTTGGCAGCTATAGCCGCTGAATTGGTCGATTGAGTCCGAATGTTCAAGCCGCCGTCGGTCGATGGAAAATTGGAAATCATGGAATCTTACACATAAAGCTAGCGACTTGTTCTAATAGGCCAAACTTTGTACTTAATTATTTACTATACAATAATCTAACTATTGTCTGTCTCTTACTATTCATTTTTTTCTTAATATTCTCAAGTCATTTAAATAATATTACAGTTTTTGAAAGAAATTTTAAATATTTAAAATAAAACTTTCTATATTTGTTTTTTGAAATTATTTTACCATAAATATTTTAACTATTCTAACATCCATATATAAGGAGTTTTGTACCCTGTTAGTGATTATATATCAACTAGTCAATCAACCAAATAATTTGATATATTGATCTATTTTGGATGAAGTTTTCTATTTCAAATTATATTCAATTTTATTGAATGAATGACACATGTTCATGATCACGTCATAATTATACATATATTAATTATCCAATTAAATAAAACACAATTTTAAATCAGATAATTAATCTTTTCCTGAACTATTTCATCTAAATTCATTACAAAGATATACAATTTATCCCCAATTAAGAAAAAATATTAATATAATCAACAAATTGACCATAAGAACTTTCCCTATCAATACTTTTATCCAAATTGTATTAGACACGGTTTTTCCTAATACATCTATCTTACCTAGCAACTTCCTAGCCATTATTCCACAATGTCACATCTTACATATGTTGGACCATGTATAACATACATATATAAACCCCAATGATCCAACTATTTCACAACAAAAAACATCATAAAATTGAACTACAAAAAACCTTCCTCTCTCCATAATCATTTTTGTTATATTAATTATTTTGGTTATATTAATTAATAAATTTTCTATTATTCGAACCGAATTGTCGCATTTTGGTCATGGCCGTTGACCGGTGGCTATTGCTAGGCCGACTAAAGAGGGCCGTGAAGAAGATCAAAATCTTGCTCGATTTCAACGTAAACCGATGGAAACTAGCATTGATAATCGGGGGCTCGTCTAGCAAGAGGCGGCTAAGCTTTACGAGCCGGCCTAGTTTAACTGCTTGTGTTGAGGATTTCGAATTGGTTCACGAGTCGGGCTCGATTAGGAGCTTTCAGCGGACGATAAGCTATCCTTCGGAGGACGATATTGACAAGAGGGCCGATGCATTTATAGCCAATTTTCATAAGCAGCTGCAAATTGAGAGGCAAATTTCATTGGAGCTTAAGTACCTTAGAGGGAACAGCTTTGATTCTGCAAAATCTACATGAATAAATCAGTTGGGCTCAGTTATTTTTACTTTTGGGCCTCTTATGGAGATTACTTTTTTATTGTATTTTTTTTTGTAATTATGGAGAAATAAGGGGGTGGATTTGGAATTTTTGGGGAATTGGAGATGGTGGTGGGGACTTTGAAGTTTTAGGGAAGGTCCTTCATCAGCAAGAAAAAGGCTTACAATTTTTATTTTTTTTAATTTTTATTTTATTTTTTAATGTAATGGATGCAGAAAAAACGTGTAGAAAAGGATGTGTGAATAGATTGTTTAGTTCATCAATGGGCAATTCTGCTTTCCTTGACTAAAAGGGCAGGTGCCGGCATTTTTGCTCCGGTACTTTTCGGCCGGTGATTTAGTTTGTTAAATCTCTCCCTCACTATCACGTAATTCTTTTGGTTGAATTTTGTTTTGAGTTTTCGCCCAATGTAGAGATGTTAAATTAAACGAGCCGCTCGTGAGTTCAGTTAGGCTTGACTCGATAAGTATCAAGTTCGAGTTTGGCTCGTTCAATATTAACGAGCCGAATTCAAATTTGATTATGAACTCATTATGGGCTCGACCTCGATTATAAGCTCGTTAAGTTAACGAGTCGGGCCAAACTTATTTTGGGCATATTTTTAACATTTTCAAATATGG